GGAGTATATATATGTCCCTAGATGCATCAACAAATCAAAAAAGTAAAGAATAGGTAAACAGAAATATCATTTACCTCAGGCCGCAAAATACGATCCATTTCAACAAGAACGTCAATCATACTGCAGCTTTGCGAACTAAGGTGTGAAAAGAGTCCATTGGCATGAAGCATGTCATATGTTCTGGGGTATGTAGGAAAAGCTTCACACCTGACCCAATTTTAGAATTCAAAAACAGCTGTCAAGAATATGTGAATATATTTCCACCGGCGACCATATTTCATGAACATTGTTATGAACACCTGGCACAATTTTATGAACACTCTCTTGAAGCAAGTTTCATTTATGCCACCGGTGACATGTGGGGCTTTATGCAAACAATATGGCTCCGTTTGGTACATGGAATTCAAACTATGGAATTGGAATTGAGAATCTCAATTCCAATTCTAGCGTTTGGTAGCACAAAAATTATGTGGATTTGGAATTGGTAGTGCAAAAAATGAATTGAAATTGGTGAATTCAATTCTATGGAATTGAATCTCATGGAATTATAATTCCAATTCAATTCCAATTCCTACCAATTCCGTGTACCAAACGGACCCTATGTGAATTTATATCCACTTAAGTACATGCATACATTAGCAGATTAAGATATGAGTGGCTGAGTGCTATCATGTACGTGTTTCAGAACACCATTATGAGAAAACATACAAAGTATATGACTAGATGGAAGCAAAAGAAAAAATGTGTTATCATCTACAACCAAATGACATGTGCTCTGAAACGTAACATAAATCTCCCATGTTAATTCCTAAACAGCTAAACTTTTTTCATGCAAAATCAATAACACACAAGCATCTTCCCTGTAGAGTTTTAGGGATTTATAAAAATAGCAAAGCATGCGTAAAATATAATGGAAGCTAGTAAATAAATTACTATTTTCACTCATAATACTTTCCATGAGAAAGGATTTCCATGTGTAAAATGTGGAGGAAGTGTTCTCTTTAATGGGATCACCAGTATAAAGTTTCTTTTGATGACACTATATACAAGTCTAAATGTTCCACATTAAATGAAACAGACTGAGAATTTACCAGTTATGTAGAACACCTATGAAACCTCGATCAACTATGAGAGGAAGTGTATTGCGCATCCCCAGTGGCACAACATTCATAACCCATGCTGATTTTCTTGCATCAGAAAAAGCAGCATTCAAACCACCATAATGTGCATTCATATCCATCACGTTACGAACCATATTATATGGGGGCAGTGGGTCCTCATCACCAGGTCTCTTTGGATGGTCAGAGAAAATCAATGGTGAAAGAAGTGACCAATAGTTTCTTAATGAAGATCTCCAGAACTCTGAGTCTTCAAAGAAATCGTCATTATGAACACCTGCTGCACAACAGAATATTCAGTTTTTAAAGTTTGGCTAATAACACATGTAACACGGAACAGTTATTTTGAATTTAAATACTTTCCATGAATTAGAAGGTCACTTGAGTTTAAGGCCTTAGATCCGACATGAATTGGGGTCCATCTATTACTGGTTGTCCCAGAAATACAAGGAGCAAGAGGGTGATAGTATGCTTGAAAATCCTCTCCTTTACAAACAGGCACTGTTCTTTGCGTGCTGCAATGTAGCACCAATACTATATTAGTTGGCTTGATTGGCTTACGAGTATACACAAAACAGTCAAACAGAATAGAATCTAGAGAGCAAAACAACAACAACAACAACCCAGTTAAATCCCACAAGAGTAGGGTCTGGGGAGGGTGTGTGTACGCAGACCTTACCCCTACTCGAAAGTAGAGAGGCTGTTTCCAAAGAGACCCCCGGCTCAACGTCGAAAGTCGCATTGCTTGACTAACTGCTACTTCATTAATTAAAGAAGCGCAAACAGTTTAGAGATCCATTTTGATTTATTCCATCACACCTCAAAGCCAAAAAATGGTGAACTTTTGGCTCCATCGGAGATGATGGAAAGAATCTGGAGAGCAAAACAAATGGTAAAAGAATCCATAAAGTTGTAGGCAAACATGACTAAAAGATGTCAATAGGTGGAAGGGGTGCGCGGATTCGTGTTCAACTGTTCATATATACAATATAAAGAAACAACTAGAGGTTACCCCGTATTAGCTCTAGAAAAAACTAGTGTTTTTTTAACAAGTGCTTCTCACTAGCCTTACTTTGATGCACAATGAGAATCAAGAGTCTTCTGCCAGATGGAAGTCTCTCCTTGCTGCGCTAGAAGATTCCAACAGATATTCTTGGTAAATTCTTCAAATGGAGTTGACACACTTCCAGTCTTAGTACTGATAGAACTCCCTTGCCGCTGGCTTGCGGGTGAGGTTAAAACAAAATAACCTCCTGGCTTGAGTATTCGGTCAATTTCAATAAGGAATAGCCAATCTGGTTTGCAAAATCACAATTAGATTCATGGTCTTAAAAAAGTGATTAGTGATCCATATTAGATTTTCCTAGAAAAAACAGAATAATTACAAATGAGGAATAATCTCATAAGCAAATGACTCAGCAGTGCTTCCAATGGATGTTTCATAATATTAGATAGAGTGAATGAATAAAAATAATATGCACATAATAGACATATCTATAAATAGACACCCGTGAATCATCAATCCTAAAAGGAAACAATGTATTACCAGCCAAAATAGACACCTCACACACGCGAATCATCAGTGTCAATATTGATCTAGTTCATTATAAGCCATAACCTCATAGGGGGTTTCTTTGAGACTACCTTTTTTATCCCATAGGATTCCACACTGAGCACAATGAGCCATGTCATACGCCAATGCTGGAAATGGAAGCTGTTTCGTGATGAAGTTTCCGATAATTGCTGGAATCCCTCTCTCAAGTACTAATTGGACCTGGCTACCTGAAGACTCATATGCGGCTATACACAGAGGCATCAAATTCAGGGATAGTAAATGGGCTCCAAAGCTACCAAACCCACAGCCAACATCTAACACAGTCTGCACCTGTTATCACAGATATATCTTACATCCAAGTGTAACTGTTTTATGAGATTGACGGAGTCCGTGAATATACATTCACGGACTCCGTCAGTCTCATAAAACACTTTGAACTTTCCTTTTTTTGGACATACCAAGAAACTATAGACCTACTTTATTTCGTATTTTGGTAGTGAATATGTGGCTCATAATGTTTCTCTCTCATCTAAACAAATTCTAACCATACATTTTTTACTTTTCAACAACTTTCTTCAACTATGTGAAAATTAAATCGTAAGGTTTTTTATAGGAGGGGGTAGTATCACATACTAGCACTTAAGGTTTTTACAGAGTAGTGCCTCAACAGTAAACTTTAAAGAAGAAAAGGTAAAAAATATCACACCCTAAAACTAGACAAGTATTTCTCACAGATAATTAAGTGAAACTTACACCAGCTTGAAGAAGTTCATGGTCACTTCCCAGCCCCATCATTTTTGCAATTTGGTAAGAGTAATCTTTGACACCATCGTCAGCCACTCCATCCTCAGAATGAAAAGCAATTTGATTCTCTTCTAATAACATTAACCTGAGAAAACATCATTACTAATTATGAGAACAATATTTCCACATCCAGCTAGCACCTTAAATGAACCCTAGGGAACGTCTATAAAGAGTAAATGATTTATTAAAGACGACTCAGTCCACCGTCTAAAAACATTTTCATACCCTAAATGAATTTAATAGTGCCAAAATCTTGTGTAGATTGCAATTAATACATAAGATTTACCTTTTTGTCATACTTCCAGACGACAAGAAATGATCTTTGGTTAATTTAACATTTCCACTCCAGATGACATCCCTGCCTGAAGGCCAAGTTAAAGGAATCTTATAGTCCTTAGGAGGACGTACTAAACAGTGCTGCCAATCTCGTGAAATCTCACAATGCCGATCATGTTCCTCCCCATCTTTCAAACCAGCTAGTAAATTTGCAGTCACATTGTAGCAAGGCACATAGTTTTCTCTATCTTTGCTACAAAGACCAACATCCTTTATATGGTAAGCTCCGAGTGAAATACTTCTTAGCTCCAAGTAATCAGCAGCCGCTTGCTCCTTTAACCTTCTATAGTTTGAATAAATGTCAGCTTTTGCTGTCGAGGAAACAGAATCGAAAGTACTAGAAGAAGATGATCCCAACAAAGCTATTAACACAATGATGCTGACAAGAAGCAAGAGTAACCAGTTAAACGGCGGTCTAGGGCCAAAAATCAGAGTTAGTTTTTTTATCCAAGGGCTTCTCATGTCCAAATTCTGCCAGCCCCTCAATTGTAGAGCCAATAAAACCACCGAATATTTGCTATTGATTCGATTTGAACATCAAAGAATGAAAAATACTACGACCTATCATCCGGCACCATCCAGATCAAAAAAAGGAGCCAAGATTCAGCATTCCTCTGGCAGCCACTGAGCCATAATCAAAAGCATAACTCAGATCAGAGAACCACTCTCTAAAAGGTAATAAAGCAGCCACAACAGCTCTTCAAAATTTCAACCACTACCGATGTGCAATTGAATCTTATCTCTCGCCAAATCCAGCGATCACAATCTCAGATCAAACTGCAAAGAAAGCTCCAAATTTCACGCTAATAATGAGAGAGATGGAGATAGAGAGAGGACAAAGGAGCAAGATACAAATATAAACACTGCAAAACCACAATCGATTTCGTATTTCGAATCAAATCCACAACGCATCGACGAACAAAATCAGCAAGCAATCGCCAGCATTACACGTAACAACGATAGAGTGAGCTTACCAGACAGTTAGTGATGAGCATGAGGCGGTTACGCAAGTTTAGGCTGGACCGTTGAGATGGCGAAAAACAAATTCGCCATTGACGTCTACAGAGAGAGAGAGAGAGAGAGAGAGAGAGATTGGGGAGGCAGCTTTTCTGGTTTTGGATGCAGAGTTCTAATCATGGAGAAACTTCTTCTTTTTAATTTGGTAATTAACGGGGAACAGGTGTATTTATAATTTCCAAATTATGCTCCATTGCTCCGGGAAAAAAAATGTTTCATACTTCCTCCTCTTCATAAACATAAATGGTCACTCTTTTCATAAAAAGTCATAATTTCCTCTGTCGGTGTTACGCAATTATGCTAAGTATAAAATGTTATTTATCTTCTCTTAATAATCATCTGATCAGGTCTAATGGGGCTTGTCCTTTGTAAAAGTCATTTTTCATAAAACTTGTTTGAATGCATATTTGTGTGATTGTTTTCAATAGCCGTATAAAAAAAGTTCAACAACCGTATATTTGATAAGAAATTTTATTTTTTAGTACTCATGACTTTATTATACTTCTTTCGTTCCAAAATATAATTCATGATCTGCTTATGATGTTTAATTAAACTTATTTTCAAATCAATACAAGTAAAAAATTAACGTAAAATTATATATATATATATATATATATATATAGTAGAATTAGTTTAATCTTTGAATTAGTGAACTTCTCACGTAAACTTCGGTTTATTTGTTTACTTTCATTGATAATTTGATGAAATAAAATATTTTTCTCACATATTATTTTTGTAGAACTTTTGATGTAATTTTTAATTATATAAGTTTTATTTTTTATTTTCATAACAATCTTTAAATAAAATTAATTAAAAAACTTAATATTTTTACTTCATTTTGCATAAGGTATAATTCATTTAGGATGAATAGAGTGTAAAAATACTAAAATAATAGTGACATAATTTTAAGTTTATTTGATAAGAAATTTTATTTTTTAGTACTCATGACTTTATTATACTTCTTTCGTTCCAAAATATAATTCATGATCTGCTTATGATGTTTAATTAAACTTATTTTCAAATCAATATAAGTAAAAATTAACGTAAAATTATATATATATATATATATATATATATATATATATATATATATATATAAAGTAGTGGCAATGTTATTTTAGTTTATCAAATTATCGATAAATATATATATATAAATAAAGTAGAATTAGTTTAATCTTTGAATTAGTGAACTTCTCACGTAAACTTGTGTTTATTTGTTTACTTTCATTGATAATTTAATGAAATAAAATATTTTTCTCACATATTATTTTTGTAGAACTTTTGATGTAATTTTTAATTATATAAGTTTTATTTTTTATTTTCATAAAAATCTTTAAATAAAATTAATTAAAAAACTTAATATTTTTACTTCATTTTGCATAAGGTATAATTCATTTAGGATGAATAGAGTGTAAAAATACTAAAATAATAGTGACATAATTTTAATTTCCTAAAAAGAGATTCTATGGTCAACTTAAGATGGATATAGACCTTCTCACACAAATTTCTCTCCTCCTAACGAGTTCTTACAATATTTTTTTACTTTTCAAAGTGAATATTTTTAACCATACTGTTGTGGGATTCACCTGGGTTGTTGTTGTTGTTGTAAAGTGAATATTTTCATGGAATGCAAAACATATTACATATTCTTAACAGAACCAAATCAAATTAGAAAGATTTAGATCAAATCAAATTGAACTAAGTCTATCAAATATGAAACAACTTGATTTGAAATTGGATCACACCAGATTTTATTAGATAAAAAATATTCAAATCGAATTAGACTTTAATAAATTTAGATTAGAACTAATATAATAAGTTCATATGAAATAGGACACGCCCTAAAACATACGGAGTACAACTTTTATTAAAAAGACATCTTAAATTTGTACCTCAGGGTAGAGGGTATGGATGTTGTTACAAATATTACAGCGGGAATAAAAGGAAAATTAAAATAATCCAAACTTATAATACGTTGAGATTTTACAATAAAAGAATTAAAAATAATCAAAGGGTCGCCAGAGGGTTGGAAGCCGGAAAAACGAATTGAACAGGGAGGGAACGAAGGAGCTGCTTTATTGGAACGATCGAACTGTTCCACTCGAATAAATGACTGAGCGGAAAAAGGGAAGTCGTACGAACAGTGCCTGAGAAAAGGAAAAATTTAGAAAAGCGGAGTCGCCGGAGCTTTCCTTAAGGCAGTATTGCCCGCCTCCCGCACTGGCAAATGTGGGCAATCTCCTCCCAGGATAAAGCTGCAACGTGCAAGGTCTAGAGAGGTAGAACCGTGCACCAGCAAATGAGAACGGCAGGAAGTTATCGCCGGAGAAGACGATCGGAAAACAGGGAAAGAGTTGGACAGTGTTTCGTGTTTCTGAGCTTGTAGTTGTCTCTCAACCAACCTCTCCTTAAATAGGAGGAGGTTTGGCTAATTGATGGACTGGTCGGATATACCAAAGAGTCTCAAGTGACTCTGTGGTCGGCATGTATGCATTTACCTTGGACAACCACACTTCGTTAATCACGCAGTGTCCACGCGTGTTCAATTCAGTCTCGTAAAAAATAGCCACGCCCCGTCGCAAACGCATACACAAGCGTTGCGCCGCGCGCGCGTCGTAATGGATGGCGGCGGCGCCCGAGGAGTCCTTTCTTGTTCCTTTCATAAACTCAATTAAATGCTAAAGTTTAAATATGGGAATACGAAAGGTTCAAGATCTGGTGTGAGACAAGAGTTTTTACTCTTTCCACGTGTTCGACTTTATGAATTAATTTCTTATTCACCCGAGCACCATTTTTGGCATGTAATATGTTGAAGCACTCATCTCACTTACGAGATTAATTGTCCATAATTATTTCGGAAAATAATTTTGTGGACCTTACCGTATTTATGTCTGAAAATGTCTAGTTTTAACTAAAAAATTCCAACAGATGCAACAAAATCAATTTGTTACCAAATTAATACGTGGCATTTTGGTAACACATTCCATAATTTTTTGTACCAAACAAAATTGGCAAGCAAGTCTATACATTTACCGAGCATACTACATCTCTATTCATTCTCTTTATATGGCAAAATAACACCAGTACCCCTTATGGGTTGAAAAATATAGGCATCATTACTCTCTCTATTTTTAAAGAGTAAATTTTATAATTGGTCCTTTATAACAGGGGGTTTCCATATTTAATCCTCTATTATCAAATATTACCTCCCGTAGTCCTTTTTTAAGGGTGCCTTTCCATAAATAGTCTTTTTTGATCTTCTGCCATGTTGGTGTTAATTTAAAGGCTAAAAGTACAATTTGACATCAGCATTATGTCTAGTGACGTGTTCTGATATTGGTTAAGCGGATAACACAAAAATAATGACTATCATTATGGGCTAGAATTCCAACAAAAGACTACATTTGTAGACTATGGTTGTAGTAGAAAGCGACTGTAATTCACAAACGACGCAAGCGGAACAGCCTTTGGAATTGTGTATGACAAAAAAGATATATTATCAATGTGAAATTACACATTTAGCCCTCAAATTAACACCAACATGATTGAAGATCAGAAAAGGACTATTTGTGGAAAGATACACATAAAAGGACCACTAGAATAATATTTGATAATAGATGACTAAATAGGGAAACCCCCTGTTATAAATGACCAATTATGAAATTTACTTATTTTTAAAACTTATTTCTAAAGTATCCGTGATTTCAAAACGTCCAATCATACCCCATATAATCATTTTCAGGCTATTTTTCTGGCAAAAAAGAGAGCATTAGTGCATATTTCCCTAACCATAGGGAGCACTCGTGCGTATTTCTTTTTTTTTTCTTTTTTTTCATTTACTTGTTCCTTTTATTAATCAAATATTTTTTAAATTTCTTTTTAAAATTATTTTAATAATTTTACTAAAATTTAAAATTATTTTTGTTTGAAAAAACAATTAACATATACAACATCTGTATGTCTCAAATTAACTGTTTTTATTTTTTGTTTTCCAAAATAAAAAGTAAAAACTTTTGTAGTGAACTTCAAATCTGAGGAATGAAATAAGAAATAAAATAAAACAAAAAATAAAATAAATCTTTTTTGGACATCCCGATTCTAAGGATTTTTTTAGGCGTTTTGAAAATTTATTTTTGTATAAGACTCTCTTTTTCATGTTTCAATTTTTTTTCAATTCGTTCTTCCATATTTTTATTTTTATTTTTTATTCTTGATTTTTTTAAAAAAAACTTACCAAAAAAATTATAGAAAAGAAAAATGTGAAAATGTTTAATTTGAGATAGATGTAGTATAGGCTAATTTTTTTATTTCAAACCTAAAAAATTTTAAATTTTTGAAAACAATATAAAAATTGAAAATATATTTTAAAAAAATCCTAGAAAAAAAGAAAAAGATCTTAAAAAAGCTATAGAAAGGGGGGAAACAAAATAATAAACGAAAAAAAAAAGAAATGAGCACGAGTACCCTCTATGGTTTAGAAATTAGGTACCAATATTCTCTCTTCGCTGGAAAATGAATGAAAAAATGACAGAGGGGTGTGGGTGCAAGGTTTTATAAATAATTGAGACTTTAAATTTAAATTTTGAAACCAAAGGGGTATTTGTGCTAATTTTTCAAACCACAGGGTGCAGTAGAGCTATTTGGTAATCTTTATATACACATCCTTGATTTTAATTTTAATTACTTATAAAAATTTAAAACAATATTGTTTGACATTAATATTTACAAGAAATATCTACAAACAGATGATATATTTTTTCCAAACCATTTTTAAACCCCAATTCCCCAAATAATATAGTTTTTACTCTCTACAAAAAAACAAATTTATTTTTTAACTCCCATAATGTTCTCCAAAAATAAAAATATTTTAAATTAAACAGACCAAAATTATTAGTTTAGGTTTATTATTAAAAAACAATTATAGTAAATAGACAAATTGGCATACAATATTATTTTATTAAACACTGCGGAGAGTCAAACCCAAACTATTCATTTATAATCGATGGATTATTTAATAACATTTTAAATTTATTTATATTATTACTTGGAGTTAATTTTTTTAATTTTTTTAATTTAGTTGTAGTAAGTTGGCGAATTGGCGTATGTACACCCCACTAGAAATATGAAAAATGTAGAATTATTGAAAC